CCCAAAACCCTGATCCCTAAGCCCCCCAAGATCCTCCCGGATTACACACGAAGTTCTGGGGCTCGCCTCCTTTTGGCGCTGCTTGTGGATCTTCTTCGATCCTTTCCCAGAGTCTTTGGCAAGGTATTCAACTTTAGTACAACCTCCCAGGAAAGCTGGCCATCACCACACACCTGATTCTCTGGGGGCTGAATTTATCCAAAGATTCCGGCCTGCGAGCGCCCAGCAAAAAAATTACGGCTCCGGGTTTAGAGGTTGAGCGTCGGGTTTAAGGCCCAGTGTACGAGGGTTCGGGGGTTGAGGGTTTTTGGGTTCAATCTGATGAGGTAGTAAGCCCTGAAGCTTGGGCAGGTTGAAGGGATTGGGGGTTATGGTTCAGGGATTTAAGGATGCAGGGTGTAGGAGAAAGGGCCGCGTGAGATTTGAAGCTTTGCCGGACAAAACTCAGGGGCTGGAGGGCTTGGGGGCATGGAGTTCGGGCTGAAGTGTCGCTCCGCCCAGTGAGCTGTTTCGGCCTTAGGTGTTGAGGGGTTTTGTGTCTTGGGTGTGTAGGGTCGTTGGGGCTTAGAACCTTGGTTGAGAACTTATCCAGCAGCTCTGCTTACGGATTGCGCGGGTTTAGGGTTGAAGTGTCTGTCGTTGAGGGATTCGAGTTTGAAGGCTCGGGGGTTCCGGGTTTAATGTTTGTCGGCGTCCAGTAGACTGCATGTAATTTCCAGGCATTCGAGGGTCTAAGCAGGGTCACTCGGGTGTTTCGGACGTCCGTTCGTTGAGGGCTCCGGAGGTCAGGGCTTAGAAGCTTACAGTAGTGTTCATGTCACAGGTGGGCGTAGTAAGGTCTTCGGGCTTCGGGGTTTCAAGAACTCAAGCTTAAGGCTCAGGGATGGGGGAATTGGGGGTTTAGGCATTGGTTGTCGGTCGTAGTCCAGTAAATCGGATTTATTTTGATCGTTTCGGGACTTGTGCATGTAGGCCTACGGGCTTGGGTTTTGGGGTACGACGGCATGTTTTCGACTGCTACATGGATTTGGGGTTTGATTGGGTTGAGCCGGCTCCGGTTTGGTTTTGACATGCAAGGTCCCTATGCCCGTGAGCTGTATGTAGGATACCGAACTGCATAAGCACGTGGTAGCGAATTTGCCAGTCGCACCCGAACTCCTGGATTCGCATCCCGTTGTTGAAGGGTCTCTTCAGGCATTGGGCCTTCTTCCGCAGTCCGGAATGGAACTCAAGAAAGTTAGACTTGATGTGCACGGGCGATTCCAACGATGCCAAGCGATGAAAGCTCAAACCTCAAACCCAGAATCCACAAGCCCACCAGTGACAAATCCCCAAAACAGAATCAGACCCGGAATCCTCATCTGAAAAATTGAGGCTCTGGGATCTTGCTTCAGCGGAGCTCCAGCTTGACTTGACACATTGCTGATGTTGATGCGGTTGTAGAAAGTTTTCAAAGCTTCCAGGTCGCGAGGTCCCTTATTGCTTTGTATGTTTGAGCTGCACGGGTGTGTGAGTGTGGCTGCGGTCTGGGCTTTTTGACGAGAACTTCAAGCTTGAAAGGGTCGGCTTCAGCCGCGGGAGGCAAACCTTGAACGCTTCGCTACGATTGGCACAATCACAAATTCTGCATCAGGCGCGGAGGTATCTTTTGCAAGCATAATTCAGATGCATGTGTACATATAAACCACTGCACAATATGCATTATACGTATAGACAGATACACATATGCACAATATGTATATATATATATATATATATATACGGTAGCCCCCCCCAAGATCTATGTCTTTTTGCTGTTTTCAACATTTCCCACTCACAAGCAATGCTTCTTGACTGTTTTCAACTCTTCCCACTCACAAGCATCTCCTGGTGCTAATCTTTTCAGCTACTCCCGCTCACAAGCATCTTCTCATGAGCGAAACCCAATGCGATTCAATATTTCAATATGGCTCCGCCCCGCGGAACGCAACATTGAAATATTGAGCCACATTGAAATTCAATATGGCGGATCCAAGATCCAAGCTCCAAGATTGCACCGGGTTCTTGGGAGGAATCTTGGATCACGGATCTTGGGTACACCATATTGAAATTCAATATGGCCTCAATCAATATCTCAATATGGCTCCGCCCCACGGAAGGCCACATGGAAATATTCAGCCACATTGAAATTCAATATGGCGGATCCAAGATCCAAGATTGCACCGGGTTCCTGGGAGGAATCTTGGATCACGGATTTTGGGTACACCATATTGAAATTCAATATGGCCTCAATATTTCAATATGGCGGATCCAAGATCCGCGATCCAAGATTCCTCCCAGGAGCCTTGTGCAATATTCTATCTTGGATCTTGGATCCGGCATATTGAAATTCAATGTGGCTCAATATTTCAATGTGGCCTTCCGCAGATTCAGAAATCCAGCCGAAACAGCTATCGCTCCCTTGAACACTACGCCTACCAGGGGTTCAGGGGTAGGGGTTTGGGGGTTTTGGCATTTAGAGGTCTGGGGGTTTGGGGCTTTGGGGTCTAGGCGTTTTGGGTTTTTGGGCTTTGGGGGTTTATGGGGTTTAGGTGAACCCCTAACGGCCGAAATCCCAACGAAACACAAAACCCAATGCCCTAAAAGCCTTAAGCGCTTTAGGTTTTAGGATATGTACGTTATATCGGGGGACCAGTACAAAGTATTCTATAAGGTAGAAGGTATTCTATAGGGCATGTATCAGAGGCATTCTATAAGTATTTTGTTCTCTGTATGTATCCCTACTAAACAAGCTTCGATTCTTTCAAGGAGTGCCGAGACTCCGAGATCCCAGATGCCGCACCGCGGCCCGCCAAACGGACCATTCGGTCCAACCCTCCTTTCCCCCGCAACGGGTGGATAACGCAGGGGGGGTAGCATATATATATATATATATGTGTGTGTGTGTGTGTGTGTGTACACATGCACGTATGTACACATATACACATATAGACACATACATCTAAACATATGTGCACAAATACAAAATTCATATCTACGAGCACGTTCAACAACATATATACATATACTCAGATGTGCATTCCTTCAAACATGCACCTACACGTTTGCAGTTACTTCGGCTATACACCTAAACAGGGTTTGGGCCGCAGAAGATGGAATGCAGCTATGCGGGGGGGAACTCCGTATACGAGATTGCTGGCACCTGCGTCCCAACACCTTAAACCTTGCAGCGACGAAACCCGAAACCCAACAACGTAAACTCTGACCTCAAGCAATCTTAGCCGAACCGTTCCAGAAGTGAGCCGAGGATTGCTTGTAATTCAGCCGTCAGTGCTTGCGAGACGCTCGGTTTGCTTTAAACAGAATTTTTGAAAGGGTTTCAAAAGAGTCTTCTTACTCGTGGCTCAACAGGGTCTCATATCGTGTTTAGCATTTTGCATTCTAGAGTTTAGATGTTTCGGGCTTGGGGGTTGGGTTGTAGTGCTGCATGGTGAGCTCTAGGGTTTGGGGGTTAAGATCTTTTGGGTTTACAGTTCACGATTTCTTAGTCCTTGAGCTCTCGTAAACTCTAGTAGGGATCAGTGGTCTTATGAGGGTTTTAGGGTTTGAGGAGTTGCCGATAAAGCCTCGACAGCCTGTTAAACACATTTCTGCCAAAACTGGTCCAATTGTTTCTGTCCCCTTCAATTGGTTGGGATAGGTCTTAGTCGAGGACATAAGGTTTCTTGCCTCTTGAGTCTAGGGTGCAGTACTTCTTGGGAAAACAGGCGTGGTATGGGGACTTGATACAGCTTCTACCCTGAAGAGGTTGTCTGAGGCGGTTGCAATTCAGTGTGTCGGGTTTGGAGTTTCGGGTTGTGGCAGAAGCCAAGGAAGGGAGGAGCGTGGTGGTGTGCGATGGAGCTCCTGCGCAGCGTGTCACGGCTTGTACTACGCCTGCGACACCCCGGTAGTAGCTCCTTATCAAATCTGAACGGTAGGGAAATCAGGGAATCTAAATATGTCTAGCATGATTGCTCCAGGGGTAATGTAGTGCGCGATCGCAGCAAGCCCTGAGCCCAAAGGCATGAAGACCAACGGAAGCCACGTTTTAGGATGCGGGCACAGTACTCAGTGCCAGAACCCTAAACATAAACGAATTTCTGTACCAACGTCTCGTAGCCCATTATCTCAACTTGCCTTCGAGAGCCTAATTGTCTCAAAATGCTGAGACCAACTGCAATTGGGTGAATACCAAGGAAGGACGTCGCCGTAGAATAGATTCTGATCCGAAATCCTTCAAACCCCCCGTGGCTAAACCCGGATCCGAACTCGAAAGAAGAAGTCTAGTCGTCACATCCTGGTTCCTCAGAGTCGCATTCTAGTTCTCCTCTAGGCCTCATCCTAAAAATGCTGAATTGAAGGTCATGGGGCTACGCAAGGTGGTCACACTTTCGATGGGGCCCAGTATTCTAACGAGAGTCATCCCAACTACAGCCCGACTGAGAACCTGCTGAGCCTCCTGGTCGTGTAGGCAGACCCAAAACAACCTGAAACACTTCTGGCCGAAGACCTAAATATTTCTTGATTTTAATCCGGAAGCCCAAAACTTGAGTGGGATCGTTTCGCCCGCACTGGTAGGTGGGCCGTGTGATGGAAAAGCCAAGAAGCAGCAATGAGATCGTTCAACAGGCTTAAAGGGGAACTAGTAAGGTGCAAGCAGGGTCTTCATCAGGGCTAAGGGTTTAGGGGTAAAGGCTAGACTTAGGATATCGGCAGCCATGGAAACTTATAGACTCAAACGGCGGCAGATCGCTATAGAAAACCCAGCATGGCTCGTTGCAATACCCTGGGGCCTGTGAGGTCTTACGGAGGTTCTAGGCAGTTCTTCATCGTTTACGATTTGTGGGTCTTACGTTTGTTCAGGCGTCTTGGGACTAGGGAAGGTCAAGACGAACCGGAATGCACGTGCAGTTACCAGACATATCAATGTTGCTATGCATACAGGCATGAATCAAGACGTCACCCTTTAGATCTAGAGGTAGGTATTTGGTTGGTTTCGTCTCCACAACGCTGCCCTGCACCCTGACCCGGCCTACAAGCGGAAGGGAAGCACCCGCACTACTAGGCGCAAAGCAAGACACTTCGAGCGGACACGCTCTTCGGATCAAAGGTTGAGGTGTTTTTGGCTGACCCTGAGGAGTTTTTGGGGTTAAGGGCTTAAAGCGTTGGGGTTACGGGGTGACGGGCTTTGGGCTTCGAGTTTTGCGTGGGTTTGCCTGTTCTTGTAAAGTCTCTGCTTGTTGTGGTGTTTGAGCAATGGGAGGGGCTTCGTGTTCTTCGGCCCAAAGGGTTGCAATAGGGGTCTTGACATGTTGAGATTAGGAATGAGTAAGGCTTAATTATAAAAACATATGCATACATACATATATATATATATATACCTACATATTTATATACACATCCATGACACGATGCTAGCCATGATTACTTAGTACCACGAGGGTCCTTTTTGTACCGCTTGAGAATCTCAAGGCCTCCGAACTTCTGCAGCCCTGCGTGCAGAGTGCTCCCAACTAGAGAACATCACGAGCCCATGGCTGGAGAAGGAAGGCGAAGCCGAGGTCGGCCATAATATAGGGGCCTTAGTAATTAGAACAGGGTCTTGGGGTATTTTATACCATAATTATAATAAGGAACCCCCAAAATAGTATAGGTAATTATTCAGGCCCCTATATCATGTGCCGTATGGGCTAAGAGGTTGGGATTAAGCGGTTTTGAATTTATCTCCGTCCGTGCCACGTTTTCTCGGCAAGGATCTGGTTGAGGGTGTAGGGTGTAGTGTTTGAACAGCGGTGCGCCTGGCCTTCAGTGCGGCCAACATTGGCAAAGGAAACTTGTGGCTGGTGTTCAGGGCTTCGCACCTCATGGAAAAGGATTGGAGCAACGACTCAGCACTCATGCTGCGAACCCGCTTGCGAGTCTTGTGAAAAAGCTGATCTCCAAGACCGTTTCTCAGCTAAGGATTACTTTCAACGCCGCCATCAGTGCCTGCGGCAAAGGCCTTGGATCCGAACCTGTGGTAGTGAGAAACCCAGGCTCCCTGCGCTTGAGATTTAGTCTAAACTGAACCATAAACCCACAAACCTAAACCCATGAAGCCCTAGATCGTAAGCCCTAAACCTGCATTACACAAAACCCTCCATATTGAGCCTCAAGGCCCCCAAAGTCCTAGAATCAGAAACCTTGAGCCCATGCCCCAGACTCCTCCCGCGGAACCCGAGCTGCAAATCGTTTCCTCTTTGTGGGGCTGACGGCGCACTTTGGAATTGGTGTTGGCCTGTTGTTTCAGGGCCTAGGCTGACGTCTTGTTGCTGCAGCGATGCCTCCTGCGCAAGGTAACTGATGTTGGGCTCGGTTGGAGAACTAGACCACCGAAGCAACTTTCAGCACCGACTCGCTTCGAGTGCATGGTGGGGAGGGGTATTTGAGCGCAGAATCGGCGAAGAGGCAGCGCGATAGACGAAACTAAAGAAAACTCTGTCTGAAGCTGCTTGCAGGTATATTGGGTACGACTAGCCGAGCCTTTCACGACCCCACCCCAAAATCTGTGCGCCCTCCCATCTCCAAAACTTACTCACCGACTCTCCGAAGCTCCTCGCAGGCCCCGAACCTTGGGCTCATATTCATTTTTGTGTCATCCCCATTCTGCTCAGAAGGAGGCGGGTGGCCGCTCATGCTGGGCTTACTTCAGGAAATGCAAACGACCCAGGCCCGAAGGGATCATGGCCTGAGGGTTTAGGGCTTCCCGGTGTATGTTCTGTTATGTTATGTTATGATGTGCCGTGTCATGTAATGTAGTGTAATGTAATGAAATGTAATGTAATGTAATGTAATGTAATGTAATGTAATGTAATGTAATGTAATGTAATGTAATGTGTGTATGTAAGTATGGATGAATGTGTATATCTATGTACGTCGCTTTGTAGGGGTGTACCGTGTTTATGTAAGCCTGGGGGTATGACTGATTGAGTCTTGGGCCAAGAAACCAGGGCAACATCGCTAAGTGATGCGAAATGGGAGGGTGCCTGGACAGTGTACCCTGTTCGCCAATGGGGTGTATCTGCGTGGGCAGTGCAGCAGGGTGTCGTTTATGTAGGCGTGCAACGGAGTGCCATGCTCCAGTTGCATTCCCTGAGATGTGCTAGCTTTGCCCATTAGGGGTGCCTGGCTGGTGGCAGTCCGTCACCAGTTTCAGCAGGTCCGCCTACACCCCTCGCCAAACAATGGGCTACAACATGGGCCAGTGAGAGAGTCCTTTGGACGGCCTTGGCATTCCACACCTCTGCACCTGTCCGCCATGACGCTGGAGGACAGGTGTGGGCCAGTTGACAGGCGCCACTATCATCGGCTGTTGACCTGCTTCGGTAAGAATGCTACAATCGTGTGCACATTCTGACAAGATGGCCTGCAATATTCCACATGACAGTCTTGCAACTTCTGCAAGAGAACCGGCCTGTGGTGAATTCATTGATTGATTGGTTGGCTGCAGAGTTGAACGATTGTGCTTGCGTCGGTTTGTTTGTCTCTGGTTTGTGTGTTTGTTTGTGTTGCGTTTTCTGGTTGTTGATCTTGTTTTGTTGGATTTGCTTGTTTGCGTCTTACGGTATGTGTGTATTTGTGAGATTGTTTGCTAGGGTTCAGATTTCGAGGTCTGTAGTGGGCCCCGTAGTTTCGTGGCCGTTGAGTCGCGACAGGCCTGAAAGCGAGCATGATTTATCGCAAGCTTACAGGATCCGGTTGTTCCTGTAAGTTATGTGGTTGAGAAGGCTTATTTCATGCCAACAGAGTTTCATACTTCGGATCTGTGTTGGTTTGAACGAAACTCGATCTGTTGAGAACTTAGAACCGGGGCTCCCGGCATCCCAGGCCAGGAACGTAGCTTCGGGCTGTCAGTTGCGAAGTTGAAGATGTGGCATGCTGGGCTTCGCGACTTGGGAGCTTCGGGGAAAGGTTAGAATTGCGGCATTGGGCGATTCGGGTGCATTTCGGGCTTGCGACGAAGGAAACACACTGTGCTTGTTTTTATTTTTCATGATCCATGTTGAAAAGAGGGGACTTGACCATGGCGAAAGATGGAAGCCAACCTCGAAGATCCAGTCGCACCCTGTGTCCCACTCTTGCTTCTGTTTGGTGCCGACCGGAGGTGACGAGGGACCTGATCACTTTCAACGCAGCCATAGCAGCAGTTCCTCCCGAGGTTTCTCAACTCAGAGCTGGGGGTAGAGGGCTTTGGAGTACGAGGCGATGTTCTTGTTCCTTTTTCGAGTTTCGGGTTTTGGCTTTACGCTTCTCGGTTGAGTTGGTGTGCTTGGATGTTTCTGCTTTGGGTGCCCCGTTATTGAATCCTTATCGAGCTGAACGTATGTATTCTCCCGGCGTGTGAACTCCACAGCTAAGCCTAGCAAAGCCAGGTTTCCACACAATCAGCCCAGGCTCAAATCTAAACTGCACCCTAAGCCCTAGAAGCGCTGCCCTGCATCTTCAGCACTGACGTCCTAAACCCCAAACCCGAAACCCTGAGCCCTAAACCCCTAAACCTGAACATGACCTTTTGGGGCTCTGATCTTTCTTACGGACTTGCGGCCTTGGGGCCTGAGCTCGCGGACCCCAAAGGCAAGGAGCGCCGTGTCAGGGGAAAGAAGTAACCGAGTGCGCTGAGGGCTGTGTGTTCAGGATTGAGGGTGTAGGAAAAGATCAAGTTTTTGGATGTGTTGCTTTTTTCTGGGGGTCTTAATCCCGAGCACCTGAACCCTCCGCCTTGAATCCCACGAACCTTGCAAATCTACCCCTCTGAATCCACCGAAAGTCGGCGCTTTAGGCCTGGCGCGTGGCTGTGGCGCTCCTGGACCTGGTGGTTCTTGCTTGTGAGTGCAGGTTTCAGAGCTTCGCATCTTAGCCTGGTTGAGTCGGGAGGATGCAGACTTCAAGCTTCAGCAGTTAGCCTTGCACGGACACATGCCCGAAGCCCAACGGTATTTCTGATCCAAGCGGACTGGTGGCCAAGTTCTAGGTTCTATTCTGAGTCATCGTCCAGACATAAGCCAGAAAACCAAAGCGAGAGACCTTCTATTCTGTTCGTAAACTTTGTAGGGCGCAGTGGGCCATGGTTCCTTGCTATAGTGAGAGCAGACTGCACCCAAACACCCACAGCCCCAAAATTTAACGTCCGATGGCCCGCACCCGAAGCCCACGAAGTACAGAGGGTTTAGGGCCTTTTAGGGTTTAGGGCTTTGGGTTTGGGGTTTAAGCTTTGGGTTTTTCGGGTTTAGGGCTTTAGGATTTTAGAGTTTCAGGCTTCAGGCGTTAGGATTCAGTTTAGTGTTTAGTTGGCTGAATGATCTGCACTCTTGAAGCCGCCATACAAGTAGCAGAGCTTAGCAGAGGTGGCAACGGCAGCGAGATTAGCAAGAATTATTAGGGTTGAGGGTTTAGGGTTCAATAACAGTGGGGCGACCACGCACTCAGCTGTGCCTGTGGCGGAGACCGTGTCAAGCGACACAACCGTCTGCGGTCTTTGGTGGCGAGCAGGGCTCGCGCGGCCGGCTTGACGGTGGAGGTCGAGAAGCCTGGTTTGCTGCCCCCTGGTGCACCGGAAGACGGGGTCCGGCGGCCGGTGGGGCGCCGTCCAGCTGATGTCTGGGCGATCAGGCTAGCATGAAAGCATTGCGATTCCTCTTCTCTTCCCCATGTGGAGCCGTGATACATGTTTATCTTTCCCTCAGCCCTATCAACTACAATCTCAAAACATGCGAAGCGCCCAGATGTCGCCAACATCGCGGGCCTCTCCACGAGGCCCGCGATGTGCAGGGACCTCAAATCGCCACGAGGATTGCCATCTAGGAGGGCGCGTAAGAAGACAGCCAATAGTGAGAGTGTCTTGCCTCCTGGAGAGACTGGTGGTGTCGCGACTGCCAGTGCCAATGCTAGCAGCTCATCTGTTGCACAGCCAGAAGCGCCGCCTGCAATCCGTGAACAGATGCAGCTGCTCATCCAGCAGGACAGCATACCTGCAACTTCAGTTGATCAGCGCCGTAGAAACAAACGGACAAGGGGAACAGAACATGGCTTGCTGCATGAGCTGTCAACCGCTCTCCAATACTCTTACCTGCATCCAAACTTGCCCCCTGCACGGGGGATGCGATGGAAGATGTTAGGCCACAGACAGTTTGCTCTAGTGCCCAAGGGTGCCTGAGTTACAGTGCAAGCGCATGTGAGAGGAAACGTCCTGTGACAGTCCTGCGTGAGAGAGTGAGAGTGAGGCAGTTCTTGCCAGAGGCATGTGTCAGCATGGTGCATCACAGTAATAAGTAGTCATGTCCCTTTATATCCCTAGTAGAACTATAAACATAGTCTACCGCCAAATCCGATTTCAATTATTAGGGGCTACATTGGAGGTTGTAGGTATCCTTCTGTTTATGCTGGTTGCGGGCACGTGCAACTTCTGAGCCCAAACCCAAACCTTGCTTTAAGGTTTACGGCTTATGCCAAACCTTGCCCCCGAAAGTCTACACCCCAAGCCCATGCAACATCCGAACAAGAAATCCTTTCTAATGTATACTCCTCGCACAACGTACCCGGAAAATGCGGCCGCAGCGGGACTGCATGGCGAAAGATCGCTACCCAACAACACTCCGAAGTATGCACGCGACTGTGGCGGAACCGCGATTCGCGCATCCTACCGGAGCATGCGGTCGAAGATGGATTGGGGAAAGATCGCGACCCTCACCCAACAAGACTACAAAGTATGCGCGGGACTGTGGCGGGAGCAAGAACTTCGTGAAGTCAAAGTGGTAGTACAGTGGTTTCGGCGTACCCGGAGGACGCGTCCGCAGGGAGACTCCACCCAACAACACTCAACAGTATGCACGGGACTGTGGCGGGAGTGCGATTCATAAATCCAAGGTGGTATGACCGTGAATCCGGCATCACGGCGGACGCGGCCGCAGCGGGACTTGAAAAGGATCACCAACAAACAACGCGACAAAGAATGCACGGGACTGCGGCGGGAGTACGATTGCCTCATGAATCCAAGGCTAACAGTGATTCCGGCGTGCCCGGAGGATGCGGCTGCAGCGGGACTGGGCAAAGATCGTCGCCCAACTCCTCTCCAAAGTATGCACAGGACTGTGGCGGGAGCGTGATGCATGGGACCGCGGCTCATGATGCCAAGTGGTAGCCCTTGTCAAAGCGAATCCGGCATACCCGGGAGATGCGGCCGCAGCGGGACTGGGGAAAGATCGCCACCCAACAACATTTCAAAGCATTCACGGGACTGTGGCGGCAGCGCGATTCATGAATCCAAGGCTTACAGTGAATCCGGCATACCCGGAGGATGTAGCCGCAGCGGGACCGCGGAAACATCGTGCGATCCACCCTATAACACTCCAACTTGTGCATGGGACTGGGAGGGCGATTCAACGGCCACGACCGCAGCGGGGCGAGAGTATGCACAGGACTGTGACGGGAGCGCGATTCATGACTTAAACACTCTCCGAGGACCGTCATGGGTTGTGTCACTGTGTGCTTTTGACAGGTACCGATCCGGCAGCAAAAAACATGCCGGTGCGATTATTGACAGTCCCGTCAGGTGGTGACCTATGGCCTGCAACTGGGCTTGAGGGTTTTTAATAAGGATCTGGGGTTTTAGGGTGTTTAAAGGCTTTGGGCTTTAAAGCTTGCTGTTCAGGGTTTGGGGTTTAGGGTTTAGGGAACCTTAAGGGTTTAGGGTTTAGGGTTCAGGGAACCTTAAGGGTTTAGGGTTTAGGGAACCTTAAGGGTTTAGAGTTTAGGGAACCTCAAGGGCTTGGGGTTTAGGGTTTAGGGCTTTGTAACGACTTATGGGTGCTTGTCTTCCAGGTTCTTATGAGATGGAAGTTCGGAGCATGTATCTTTGGGGCTTGTGACTTCAATGTAGGGCTTAGGGGTGTGGGCCTCGTGGGCTTTAAGTAGCTAGGTAGGTAGCTTCACAGAGATCACAACATCAGGGATACCCGCTGGTGGCATTCTAAAGACGAGTGGAAGCATGCCGCAGAAATCTGAGCGTGATGTCGTCGAGAACTGGGTGCCGCCGCTTCTGCGAGCCAGTTGGATGTCATGAGGTATGTGCTTCGGGGCTTGCCATAAACCGGGAATCTGAACGGTCACCATGGTGCCCCGTCAACAGCGAAACCAGTCCGAGCTCCAGGTTTTCGGTTCAAAGCTCTCAGTCCTAGATGTGAAGTGTCGTCCAACTTGACAAGAGAAGCTGCCCACAAGAGAATCCTTTCATGCAAGTCCCATGAACCCTCGACAGTCGCCTGGGAGGACGAGCTGAGTTCGTTGACGATTGAACCGGAATCTTCGATGCAACGGTCCGTCAGCTCGGATGGCCTAGCACTTCGGGCCTTTTGGGGTTTGGGAGTGAAGGTTGGGATTGGAATTTTGGGGATATCAACGTTGCATTCCACATGCTAGAGCTGGAAGCTTTCGCTAGCGCTGGTTCTCTGCAGGAGTCTGGGCCCGGTGGTTTTGCCCGGTTTGGGATCATGATGCAATGAAGCACTCGATTTTGATGAGTGTGACCAGGGCACCGGAAATACTAACAATATGCAGTTATTACTTGCGCCATGTGGACGATGACAACACAGCCAATCCGACGATAGTCCTGGTGATGCTGATCGTGCTTTAGTAATGATGCTGATGATAATGATGATGACGATGATCATAATGGCTGTGATTATGGCGAAGATCACGGCAAGGATTCCTGCCATGATGCTGCAGCTGCTGATGGCGACTGTCAGCAATGTCGCGCATGATTCTCTCCGTCGCTATGATGATGGTGATGCTGATGGCAGATGACGATGATGATGATGATGCTGATGATGATGATGATGGCTATGATGATTATCATCATTCGTTTACTCATGTGACAGGGGTGCAGTTGCAGGAGTAGCAGCATCAGAGTTCCTTCAGAACAAAACCCTACTCCGTCCCGTCACTTGTCACGATTGCACCTTGCTTGGTGTTTGTCGTTCACGTAGGCTCTGCTCTGCTTCCTTTGAATTTGCCGGATTTGCTCAGGATCCTATCACCTACAACTCCGTGACTTGGCCTGGCGGAGCCTGTTTCCCCTTAGATCCCCAGTAATAAAGGTCAGCTTGTTTTCCCTTCTTGGTATTGCGGCCTCATTTTCAGTCTGAATGCTAGGAGCAAAGGCACCCGTGTTTTTGATTGGTTGCCGGCAAGCCTTCTGCCATTTTGGCCCATGTTGGAGAGTCGTTGGATTGATGGAATACGGGTCTTTGAACAGAATAGGGCTACTGCTACGCATATCTCGGCAGCTGCAAGCGAAACCACCGGACATTGACTTGATTTGGGTTGCAGGCTTTGCAGGTATCCACTTCGGTAACTGCAGAGTACAGAGTGGTCTTGCTTGGGGCTACGGGAGTAAAATGTGTCCGAGACGGTTGCGGTCCGGGATATGAACCCGAAGGTCTTGTAACTCTCGTGTAACAGCGCTTTGTAACCCTATGCTTTAAAGATGTCTGTTTAATGCTGCCTAGAGCAGCAGCATCTGCAGTGTAATCATGCATCGTACAATACAAGACGAGAGATCTGGGGCTGTAGAAAGAACTCTGCACCCTACATCCTACACCCCTAATCCTCAACCCTAGACCGGTTGCCCACGCAAGCAAAGCCCAGCAGATACATTTACATACCCAAAACCTAAAACCCCTAAACCCCAAGAAATTGAAGCCCCAAAACTCTCGAAGCCTGAACTGAAAACCCAAACGCAGGTTTCCAGGTTTTTCTTTAGCTGACCTGGAAGCTTCTTTGAAGCCTCAACGTCAAAGTCTTCAGGTTCAAGGGTCTAGGGTTGATACCATCATCTTTTATCTGATGGGTGAAACTTGATTCATGAGATGTTTAGACGCGAGGCTGGGAGATATGCCGTTTGCATTTTGGACCAACCTCCTCCGAACACAATGCCGTAACGGCATCTAGTCCCAGTCACGGTACCTACGAAGCCTGAAACCTGAACAGCTTTGCCTGGACAGCAGCATGTAGGACCGTTTACGACCTCCTGCAAAGCAGGTGTTGAGACCTTAAAGCCTCAAGTGGGCTTCTCGAGTCCGGACCCTCGGCCTAAATGCCGAAAGTTCTGAAGCCGGAGAGACCTGAATTCCTCATGATCTCAGAACAGCCCACCCCACAGTGAATAGCCCGGCAGGTGATCAACTCCTGTCCGTGGGAACACGGCTTGGATCTGCTCGGCCAGCTGCAGCAAAGGCAGAGTGAAGTAATAGCGACGTACATGATGATGATGATGGTGGTGATGATGATGATGATGGTGTGCGTAATGGTGCGTGGTGGTGCATAACGATGTATAACGGTATGTGATGATGAAGGTCTGACGGTGATGATGAAGATGCCATGAAGAAGAAGAAGAATGTCATTATGGTGAGGAATAGGAGCAAGCAGGTCCTTCTTGTAGCAATTGGTTCTGGTTGGTGTCATTCACTATTCTTGTTGTCTCCCGCCGTATTCTTTGGACTCTAAACTAAGCGAGCCCCAGCAACAAGCAAACCGCCAAGTTAAGCTGCCTGGTACCCACACCTGCGAACCCAAACAGCCCCTTTGTCGTAAACCTTACAAGCCCAAACTGTAGATCCGACCCCTTGAGGGGGCGGTTGGCGATTCAGGTTTCACAGTTTAGATTTTGGGCTTCTCGAAGCCCATGACAGGCAGCTGGAAGCCAGCCTCATCGCCTACAGCTGCTGAGATTTTCCTTTAGTAGCCGGAGACTTTAGTTAGGGCTGGGGATGTGGCGTCGCCCAGCAGTATCCTTTGGAGGGTTGTGGAGATTGGGTTGGATCGGGGCTTTGTTGTTTGGGAGACGTTTGGGCAATTGGGCCTAGCGCTTAGGCATGTCATTTCGGCTTGCATGCGTTTGACTCGCCGCTTCAGCGGGTTTGTTTTCGCACCACACACTCTTTTTCGGGTCTTGGGTTTTCGCACCACCTCCTTCTCTTGGCGTTTCCTAGATTCTCGGACACCTTCCTCCTTTCAGGGTTTGGGTTGTTGCACCAACCAACTCCTTCTGGGATTCTGGGCATTCCCACCAGCTACTCCTTTGCAGGGTTGGGTTTTCAGGAGCACGAGCAGGAGCCGCAGGGTCAAAAAATCCTTGCCACCATCGCCATCGGGGCAGGGAACAGAACTGAGAGTAGGGTAGAGACAAATCTAGACATGCGGTCAAGAGTACCATGGCCTTCCAAGTACGGTTATAGAAAGCTGTATCAATTGCAACTGGTGCACCAAGCCGCCCCCAAAAGTTCCAACGCCTGGGCGTCTTTCGTTCAGGGTCGGGGTGGACATGAATCTAGCTGTTTAGCTCAGGTTTTAGGCTTCTGGGTTTAGGTGTTGGGCTGAAGTTTTGGGCTCCCGGGTTCGCGACCAAGGTTCCGTGATCACCGCTTGCGGGCGCACTGCGGCCTGGGAGAGGGCGCTGCACTTGTGCCTTGCCTTGCTTCACATCCGAAGTTTGCTTCGTGACTCACTGGACTTCGAAATAAAGGTGTCAATCATCAGACCAATTTAGGTTCCATGATCTTTCAAGCAGGTTTTAGGGCATGACGGATTTAAGTTTCAGGGTGCTTCGGCAGGGATCCCGATCGCATAGGCCAGGAAACCTTGACCTTTGCAGTGCGAACTCAGAGATAATGCCAGCGATAGGGGCTTTGACATTCAGATTCTCGTGGCCACGAGCCTCTGGATCTCAAATCCCGAAGAGGTTCGAACCCAAGCTACATCTCAAGCCAAACCTGAAAATATCCTATCTCGAGCGGAACACCTTCCTGCAGAGTCCCATTGCCAAAATAAAGCGCCACACAGCCCCACCAGCAACAGCCTGCACACCCAGAGCCCCCGAAAGCCTCCACCCAAGAGTTCTTTGCAAGTGCAGGATGCGAGTGCTGTGTCTTGGACCCATTAGTACAACAGCAATGCTAATGATGATGGCTTCAATGGAAAGTGGGACCATAAGAGTCACCACATTGAATTTTGAACGTACGCACAAGCAGTTATGGTAGCAAGAACATGGGTCAGATTAATGCCCAAAAGAGCAACTGCCTTGGCAGTAGTTCTAACTACCATCACCAGCATCAGCAGCGACATCAGCATCAGCAGCAGCATCGGCATCGGCATCGGCATCAGCGGCAGCAGCGTCATCACAAGAACAGCATCATCGTGACCGGCATCACCATGCCATCAGCAGCGGCAGCATCGCAATTCTGGTCATCATGACAGTCCTGGTGGCAACAACGAGAAGAAGAGAAGAGGCATGAAGACATGTCCAGCACCAAGACGTGTCAGAACTCAAGTCGGAAATACTGTCAAAAGAAACAGCGGGAGAAAGCAATTCGTGTAACGAGCCGAGCAGCGAACCAAGATGCTAGTCGTCAAAACGCAAGCAACGGTTATCATACAGAGCATCGAAAATTAATCATCGTGTCAACTACGACTGCTGTTGCGGTTCAAGGTTTTGGGTCTTTTACTCTTTAGGGCCTGTCGGGCTTTGGCTTTCCCTTGCGTGAAATGAGGTTTCGCGGAGATTCTGTGCTACCAAAGCTTCGAACCCCATCATTTCGGATTTAGGATTCTCGGGTTTAGGGTGCAGTACGCCTTGCCTGTATGCAGAATCGGCCAGAAGCTCTTTCAGATGTAGGATGTCGAGCTGCAAAGGTCTTGGGCCCGGGCTTTCACATTTGGAGATGTTGACCTTTCGAGGCTGAATATCAAGAGGGCTCATGAAGTCTTTGATGTTAAGCTTTGGGAGCTTGGGTGGGCTCGGTTCGGGTTGTGAGGCTTTCAGAGGTTAGGATGAAGATTCGGACGGCGGAACGTTTGGATGTCGGGGGCAGTAAGTGATTATGTATCTGTCTGTGCGGGTGTGTCTGCAAGGTGTGCAGTGTGTGAGTATCTGTGTGTCTAACTAAAACCAGTATATATATATATATATAATATATATATATATATATACACAAATTTTGATTCAATACGGTCATCGATGCCTATGACCTCGAGAGACCTTCCCTATTCTTTCTTACCTTCCTTCGTTGTCTTTAATTGGGGCGTAGACTTGGGAGGGGTTTCAGGAAGTTCGGCTCTGGCAAAGTCAGTGCCGGTTTCTTTTCTTTACGAAGCACTTAAATCCTAATCTCGGTACCCTCATGCGTTTACACATCTCTTGGACTTTGGCAGTGAAGTAAAAACTTCATACCACCTTCAGACGCTAAACCCCGCCAGCCCCGTACCATCACTAGTCGTCAAGGAAGGAAGAGCAGTTCCATCTCGACATGATTACTTACAACTCTGTCATCAGCGCTTGCGGCTCGGATGCGAAGTCCCTGGCAGTCCAACGATGCAAAGGAGTGGATATCGGAATAGCTAGCATGCTCTTATACTGCGCATATAAGTATCCTAGTACAGACCCCAGAACCCTATTCTGATTATTGAGGTCTTTTAGGATTGTCTTTCCAGGAGCCTTCCTTTCTAGTATTGGGCGTTCTTGAGTCTTCTTGCTTGTGCCGGAGGGCCTGGAGCTCGAATTAGTACACTCCGGCAGTGCGGTTTGAGGTTGCGGGCACTACAAGGATGTTGTTGCAAGTTTTTGGGTTTGGTAGAATACGATCTATAGAGGGTCTCATGTTTGTACTTCGAAGAAGGGTTAGGGCAAACCCAGTCTGTGGTTTGAGATTCTTGGAGCTTGGGGGTTGGCGCTTAGTCACTTCGGGAAGTGTCAGTCCACTGCAGCCCCATAGCTTCCTTACTCTCAGCAACACAAGCAGTGGCCACGGCCTGTACGCCCCAATTCTGCCAGACACAGGAGAGCCAATAGACTGTGGTCCACAAACAGGCAAGCTCGCCGTTGCACGGCGGCGCCCAACAATGCGCCAAGAGGGTCCCCAACAACTGAAAGGAAGTCAGCGCTCCCACTTCGCACTTCCACACAGAGACAGGGACCGATGCAACGGCACTGATCACAACCCCGCTTGGAACATGACAAGCTGTAAAACATCCCCCGACACACCGAACCGAGTCTTGACAGACCAGCCGAGACACCGAAGTGTCTAGAAGCTTGGAAAGCCGGTCAGTCCTTGAACGTGAGCACTCAACTCTGGACCGAACGCCGAGACTGGATTACTACCCCAGGGCTTTCTTCGGCTTAGTCTTGTGGTGCGAGCAAGACGATTCGGCATCACGTGCCGCACTGCCCAGGCGAGCGGGGTGATGCATGGGCGCATTCCCTGAGTAGCTCGGATGGCAGGAAGGTCAAGCGTTTAGGACTCCGAGAGTGAGCCCTTAGCTTCAGGGCTTTGCATGTTTTTCGCATTCTCATCGCACTTGCTTTCAGCTCTTCGGCCTTGGAGAGGAGCAGGTTCATGGCTTTCGGCTCTCGTGTGGAAGCCAATGCTCCGGGTAAATAAAGAAGGGACCTGTTCAGGACTGTTTGAGGACACCTGACAGGTTGAACTCGGAGGCGGTAGCTACAATGTCGTCTCGCTCGCCTGTTCGGCAGATCATCCCGGCAAAGAGGTTGCGCGTCAAGTTCTTAGGCCCTGAATTCCAATTTTCACGCCCGCGGCGAAGGATCCAAGTTGTGGTGATTTTAGATGAAAATGTGCAGGAGTGAGTTTTTAGGTCTTCGGCGTTTCCATCCAGTATGATGAAGGCATGATCCAGGAGCTCAAGGATGTGCAGCTGCATCCCAACCTCGTTTCTTACAATGCTGCAGCCTGGTTGAAACTTGAGGGCGCGCTTATGGCCCGTATGCGAGGGCGCTTACTAATCAGGGCCTACGTCATCTCGGCTCTGAAGGGAGTTCAAGTCTTTTCGAGTTGCATGCTGGGAGTTTCAGAGCTGATGGAAGATGTACCCAGAGACCATAAGTTCGTTTAGCCCCTGAACCACTAGCTGTTCGTGCCGGGAAACAGTGTTGAGGCCTCATGACATTGGGTCGGGGTTCAGAGGCTGTGGGGCTTAAGCTTGACATTGAGGTGAGATGTTTTTGTACCGAGTACACAAAGAAGATCTTAGAGATAAGAAAGTTCCGTTGCTCTCGAGATGCTGGGCGCAACATCGCGGCATCGAAAAGGCCTTGCACCAATAAGTCCTTATCCACCACCACGACCCTGCACCGATTTTGCCGTGCTCCAAAGTTCCTGTCCACGTCCCTGTGCATCTCTGCTCTTTAGACCTGGTTCGCATGGCAACATGTGTACTTTCAGGAGCTCTGTAGGGTTGAAGCTTCGGCTTGAGGCTAGGGGGCCTAGTGCCCTTGCAAGAGGTCGTCATGTTGAGGGTGTCCAAGGAATTCGAACAAAGATGCCAGTGAGAAAGTTCATGGGTGAGAGATGCGGCACCGATAGATTTCAAATTTCGAATCATGCGAGGCTTGAGATCTGTTGTTTAGTAAGAACATCCACCAAAGCCACCAAACAGTAGTCCAGTCCGTTATCTAACCTTGCCTTGCATCATATCCTTCTCCGGGGTGGTGTGTTTTCCCCACAGCTTTGGAACAGACGCCGAAATAGCCCAAGCCTTGCAGCCTGTTTTACTTATCCCACGCACCCCCTGAAAATCCTGAACCCCTATCGCAGTTTGAGGACTTGGGGGGTCACATACGAGCTCTGAAACAGCCCAGCCGCCCAGCCAAGAAGGCGATCTCTGGATGCCAGCAGCCAGGGCTCTGGCAGGAGGCAATCGCTCTTCTGGCTGAAGCTCGGAGGTCATTGTGTGGTTCTTGTCCAGATCATGATGCATGTGTGCATATATGAATGCATGCATGCATGCATGCAGTCATGTACTTAGTGGACGTTCGTACACGCGCATTTATTGTCGTCTATGTGTGTGTGTATGCAATGTATGTATGTACGTATGTACGTACGTAACACGTACGTACGTACGTACGTACGTACGTATGTGTGTGTGTGTGGAGCGCTGCCTTTTTCGGAAAACATGCGCAATTTTCACGACACCATGACAAGCCCCCACGGTTAAAAATAAGATAACCCCGCTTAGGAGACTTATAACCCCAAGTATAGCCAGTATAGCCCTTCTCACTAAGCCCTAGGATATGCAGGGACCTCAAATCGCCACGAGAAGAAGACAGCCAATAGTGAGTAGTCATGTCCCTTTATATCCCTAGTAGAACTGTAAACATAGTCTACCGCCAAATCCGATTTCAATTATTAGGGGCTACATGGGAGGTTGTAGGTATCCTTCTGTTTATGCTGGTTGCGGGCACGTACAACTTCTGAGCCCAAACCCAAACCTTGCTTTAAGGTTTACGGCTTATGCCAAACCTTGCCCCCGAAAGTCTACACCCCAAGGCCCTACACCCTAAACCCCTAAACCCTAGAGCCCTTAAGAACTGATGAGCGACAGGAAGTTACTGTGATGGTGGAATTCAGCCCCTGAGGGTTTAGGGGTTTAGGGTTTTGGGTAAAACGGTTTAGGGTTTTGAGGGTTTATATGATGCGGTCAGGCAGCACGGGCCAAGGCCAAGGCCGCGGCCGAAGCCACGCGGCCGCGGCAGGTGCTCAGCCAGCAGCAGCAACAGCCGCAGAAGCACCCGTTCTGAGGCGCTGGCGTTGCAAGGCTGTGTATATAAAGTTCTAACAATTTTTATGCAATCAGTTGAAGGAGATACGGATACGACTGCGGCACCAACTCGAGGCAGAGAAGTGCGCCTCACGCTTGTGCGTGTGCCTGAAATAATGCAAAACTCATATCTCCTTTTTACGCATGGTAGCGGAGCTCTGGCCGACCGGAGCTTCGGAACTTAGGACTTTCTTCTTGGGGTCCTCGTTCAGGGGCCATTGTGCTTGAGCTTTTATGTTGGGTTCTTCGGTGCTTCTTCGGCGAAAGAAGAGACCAGCTGCACCTGAGCCACGGCGGCGACAGGAGCCACTAAACTCCTTGCGGCAATGGCTGCAACATCGGATGATCTTGAACTCTACTCCCTAGACATTTCCGATGCATATTTGATGGTGCCTCAAAGAACTCCTAAGTATATCCGTGATGGCAGTGGGAAGATCTACAAGATCCTGTTCAATCTACCAGGCCAGAGAGATGGAGCTCAAGGGTGGTACGAGTTCTTCAGTGCTGTTTTGCAAACACACGGCATGCAAGTCTGTGAAGTGGCCCCGGCTATCTTTGCGATCCCTGGGCGACTCGCCCTCAACACCCATGTGGATGATGGCAAGGTGCTGGCGACACGGGGTGAGATGGAGAAGCTTCGAGAGCATCTTGAAGCAAACAAGTTGAAAGTGAAGATCGAGGGTCCGTGTTGTTTGAGCTCGGGTAGTTGCCGCTTCTTGAAGAGGGCGTATGAGGGACATGGTGATTACATCGGTGTGAAGCAAGAGCCAAAGTATGTCCAGAAGATTCTCGAGATTCTAGGGCTACAGGAAGCATCCTCGAAACCCACAGTTTGGCCCTCTGGCATGGCACCCCAGTCAGACGACGACGACCCACTTTCACCTGACGACCATAGCATGTTTCGTTCTTGCGTGGGGATCATTTCGTACATTTCTCCAGGCAAACCCGAACTTCAGCATGCATCAAGAAGGCTTTCTTCAAAAGCCTCAGCGCCTTGCAAGCAGGATCTGCGGTGCCTCAAACATGTGCCAAGGTACCTGAAGGGCACAATGGATTATGAGACTCGGTTCCCAGCTACATCTCCGGGACGTTCGTTCTTGAATGAGCAGGGTGGCATTGGCGAGCATTCGGCATTTGAGGTAGAGAACTTGTTTGAAACTGTGTCGGATGCAGACTTTGCTTCGGGTGCTGATCGTAAGTCTACGACTGGCTTTTGCATTTTCCTGAACGGCATTCCAGTGTACTCCACATCGCGTAGGCAGCAGGTGATTGCTTTGAGTTCGATGGAGAGTGAGTTGTATGCTTGCCTAGCCGCGGTAGCAGAAGGGCTGTTCCTGAAAGAAGTGGTCACCTTCGTCACTGGAAAGAAGGTTGAGCTGGTGCATCGGACCGATGCGAGCGCAACGATTGGATTCTGCAAGAAGGCTGGAGTTGGCGGGCGTCACTTGGCAACCAGTGCTTTGTGGATACAGTCTAAGCTTCGAGATGGCAGTTTCAGCATGCGTAAGATCAGTGGCCGAGTCAATCCAGCAGACCTTCTGACAAAGACTTTCAGTGCTTCGAAGATGCATCAGTTGCTGTACCATTTTCATATCTTTGATGGCGATACACGCCTCGGAGACGAAGAGCATGCGCAAGAGATCATTCGAAGGACCATTTTTGGGTCCTCAGGCTTGAAAGCATTCCGAGTTGCATTGTTTTCCATGTTGGTCGATCAAGCTGAAGGCGTCCGCACATCATCAGTGACGCCCCACGTGACATGGACAAAGGTAGCGATGGCATTAGGTCTGACGCTCATGATTCTCCTGATAATGCTCTTCATGCTGAACGGCAAGCACCAGGAACACCTTGGTTCCTCAAGGCCTCGGCCAACATCGATCTCAACTCTGACGACGAAGGAGGCAAGCTCAGCATCCCCAAGGAGAAGAAAACCAGAGTCGTATGTTCCAAGTCACGACATTCAGCTTATTCTAAGAAAACCCTCAGGCGATGCTTATTCAAACAACACAAGAAGCTCAAGAACACGGACTTCTACCAGAAGAATCCCGGAATACTCCTACAGCAAGCTTCAGAGTACGATGGCATTGTCAACATGGGAAAGTTATCAGCCTTGGATGTTGATATGGTTGCTGGTCGGCTTCTTCGGGATCCTTTTGCTGACATGTATGTGCAGGCGGTGGCCGACTATCGTCATCAACATCGACTTGTGGCAACATCGAGTTCAAAGTCCAACAAGAAATCCACATCATCACGATCATCAAAGGAGTGAGGGTCTACATCATGAAGACAGCGAGCGACATCAAGGAGTACATCATGGAGACGGCGAGCGACATCAAGGAGTACATCATGGAGACGGCGATCTACATCAAGGACTTCACCATGGAGATGGTGGACTACTGCGTCGACGACTTCATCGGGGCGACGGAGAATATCCACATCAGCGCGACGGCGTACATGATCAACGGCTTCCTCATGGACAAGGTGGACCACTACATGGAGTACAAGATCAACGACTTCATCACGGACAAGGTGGACAACTACACGGCGTACAAGATCAACGACTTCTTCATGGACAAGGTGGACAACTACGCGGCGTACAAGATCAACGACTTCTTCATGGACAAGGTGGACAACTACGCGGCGTACCAGATCAACGACTTCATCATGGACCAGGTCTTCATGCAAGCCATAGCCGAGATGACAACAACAATCCAGGGTTAGATGCTGCGACGCAGCGACGTTTGCATAAATGGATGGAACAAGAAGTGTTACCAATACTTCAGAACCACACTCCGCGATGCCGTATGGACGGCATTGATGAAAACATGCGGGTGCACATCGCAACTCACTACGGGCGCTCATGTCATCGACGAGAGTGCAGCAGCATCACAAAGGACGCAAAATCAACCCAAGAGATGAGCCTCTCTCAAGCATTGGAGCGTGGTCTTCCGCCGTGTCACCGTTGCCTCTACGACATCTACGAGCGACTCAAGCAGTTGAATCCGAATGACAAGATGTTCAAAGTAAAGAAGAAACACCGTTGACAGTTGCACCAGTCTTGAGCTCAAACAACTACCTGAGTCGAGGCTGGCGTAGCTTCGTTTGTACAGCTTCGTTCTTTTGGTGACGTAGCTTTCCTTCACGCGCAAACTCAGTCATGTAAGACCTTTGGAATAGCTTTGGCTGGGTAGTTTTCCGCTGCTTGTTTTTGGTGTGGCTTCGCAAACTGTACAGTTAGTGCGAATCCAAGAGGGCGTGTTAAACTTTCCTGTAACCCAACATGCCTCTTTACCGGTGTGCAATGACATTGCATACGCAGCTTTGGTGAGACCAGTGAGACACTCCGCTTACAAGGCCGTTTTGCTGAAAGAAAAGTTCGCGACCGTATTTGTTAGAGGCGCTTTGTGCCACTTTTAAGTATCTCACATGCAGTTGTGAATACACGTTTCTCCGCAAAAACGCTTTTCGAGATGACGAGCATTACATCTTGGCGCAGTTTTGAAATCAAGTTACTCATTAGCTTCAATGTTTTCGATGTGGCCACATGTCTCAGTCAACCTGTTGATGGGCTGCTCCTTTTACTGTTCGGACAAGAGTCAATAGAATGCAGTGTGAAACACGGCATTCTAAGGAGGGGTGCAAAACTCATATCTCTTTTTTACCTGCTGTATGTTTTCCGTGTTTCGTATGACACAAGTTGCACATGGAATGCTATGACCAACACCAGAGCCGTTTAGCTCTTTGACAAGTGGAAAAGTTTCGCAGATAAGCTTCAGCATGTCAGAATGTCCAGGACAACACCGAAGGCTTGCGGCGGCAGCTTGAGTAGGGTTTAGGGTTCATGGTGATCAAGACTGGTCTCGCAAGACCTTTCGATTCAAGCGAGACTTGTCACATTTTTACAACATTTTTACAACATGTTGTACAGCTCCAGATGCTCTACGCAGAGTACGGTGCAATAGTCGAGCATCGGAGTCGCGGCGCTTGCATCTCATTATGAGGCCTACCTACATGGCGACACTGAGTAGTCCCTTATCATCCCTAGTAGATTGATATTGCAATGTACCCAGTATCAGGTTAAGGTCTTCATAAAATTTGTGCATGTTTTCTGAACTCGGCGCTTCATGCGTTGAACATGGTTTCTGAAACATCCCATCACCCTGTGTGTGTTGGTCTGTATGCACGATCGTCTTCATATGAGTGCGTGCACCCATACATGTTATACACACGCGGAGAGACGGAGAGAAGCAGAGAGAGGGAGAGCGAGAAGTGTACCAACTTTGCCTTCGGGGAAGAAGAGAGAGCGAGAGCCAGACTGAGAGACAGAGACGGGGCAGGGTTTCCCCCTCAGACCGGGGGTCAGGTAAACTGCCGTACCAGTTCAAGTTTTAAAAACATGCTCATGTGTATGTGCTTCTTTTTCGTGTACCTTGGCCGTTTCTGGGTTAGGCACGAAGCCGTTCGCGAAATGGTCAAGGTTCCAGCAGCACATCCTTAGTCACCATTGGCTCGAAGCCCCATGCAAACAACGAGGCTCAAGCTTATCGTCTTGCCGCTCGACCTCGAATCCTCTACCCCCTTCAACGATGCGTAAGCCTAGCATGGTCTTCACGGCTATTGCGCGCAAGTGCTCTCCTAGATGGCGCATGGCATCCCATGATACTTCGGGGACTTACCTTGGGTGTGACAAGTGCCTCGAATGGGGCTATCCCAGCTGTAATTCTTCTACAAGGAGTATTGTAAAAAACCAAAGTTCGAAGTCCCCTGAGCGGCATGAGATTCCAAGTAAAACAGGTTGTCTGAAAGTGCAAGGAAATTGCTGTTCGCGGCTTGCGGGCCGATCTAATCACTTACAACTCCTGCATCACCGATGCTCGGCTGTTATATACTGTAACTATACATCAAAAGGCGGCAAGATGCTCGGAATTTGTCTGCTGTCGCATTTCATGTGAGTATATGAGTATTACTGTACATACATACGAACTACCAAGACACTTTATGATTCATTGTGATTTCTATCCATTTCCCTTTTGTTATTCTGCAGTTTGCTCTCGGTGTTGAAAGGTGGAGGGTTCTGTTGAGCCGAAGCATGCGACCTTTGCGGTACAAGAGATCCTGTGAGCGGGATTCGAGGAAACGCATACTTCGGGATCTAAATGTTATTTCTGATGTTCGCGGATCCCAACATGAAAGGCTTTGCGGGTATTGTGTATTCCTGTCCCAACGCAGCGGTTCGGACGCAATGCAGCAGATCACCAAAACGCGCAGTCAGAAGGTCCTCTGCCGTTCTTCCACATTCTTTCAGGTTCAGGAAACCAACCCCGACATGCACAATCCACGGAGTTCTCCTAGGAGGATCTCAGCACCTAGGGCGGTTATAAGTGGGCTCGTTCAAAATAATGCAATCATGCTAAGCGCAACTTTACTTGTAGCTGCAGTCCACATGGAGACTTACAGTCCCTGAATCGAAACACGAAAGGTTGGGCATTCAGGCGAATAATTATCGGATCTTTTTCCTTTCAATCCTTCTTTTGTTGCTGCGTTTGTGTCAGCTTCTGGGGTCGTTTGTAGCAAGACATGTCGGTTTGTCTTGGTGTCTGCTTTTGCAATGAAAAATTATGTGGGGCTATGGGATCATGAAGAAAAACTACCGATAAAGAGTTTTGCCTACCAACCTGTGGATGCTTTGCCAAGGCTCTGGAAAAGGGCGGCCAGTGGCAGCGAGCTTTCAGCATGCTGCAGCATGGCCAAGAAGCTTTGGGATCTCGGGTTCTAAGCTTGAGGCTGCGCCGGGAAACCTACGTTCCGAGTTTATCTCACCCACCGCATGCCAAGGCTACTGACCCCCTACCGCACCGGATTAACGTGAGATAAAGTTAGCAGGAGACAGAATTGTAGTTGCAGATGCTGCTTGGGGTTTGGGCTCTAAAGGCCGGGCCTTTTGCCGAGCCAGCGTGAGTGTTCGTGCTTGAAAGCAGACCGCCTCGGCAAGGTTATTCGAGGCCGCCTGACAGGAAGGAGCAAAAGCATGTCCATATGCATCGGGATCAAGATTGTTGAAGGTAGCCCACGAAAAAGTGTTCAGTGCATGCGCGTCTCAGCCATGCCGCGCTACGTCTCCATTTTGGGAGCCTGCGTCCCGCATGAACCATGTGTACCGTGAGGTTGGCGCCGATTTCACTTGGAGTGTACCGGCTTTTGCAAGCCGCACAGAGATGACAGGCAGGCAAGAATCGCGATAACAAGTATCGCTGTTGAAACCTTCCCCTCGTTCCGTGTGCCGTTTGGGCACGTTGGGCAGGAGCAGGCGGAGAAAGACTTCCGAGACATTGTAGAGGGGAATCGTTTCCAGCACGGCCGTTTCTTCGCAGCTTGATGTTGGCAGGCGAGACCGGGAGCAGACAGTCTTACTGTATGATTAAGGAAGAGAGGTCGACTCGGCCGACATGTAGATCAGGCGGCGGCACAAGCAGTACAAGGCTGAGCAGGCAGCGGCGCATCCAGCCGAAGAGAAGGAAGCTGCAGAACACCGGCTGCAGCTTTCGCGCAAAGTATGGCCGTGAAAGCTGGCGACGAGAGGAAGGCAAGAGCAAAGGCTGCCCACCAGCCGACCAAGGAGGAGAGAAAGGAGCCTTCACCCTCAGAGAGTGGAGAAGGCTGTGTTACTAGAGTTTCCTGCGCCAACTAGCTAGAATCCACCCGCCCCAAAACCTATGGACACTGACTCGGGGAATGCCCTTCAAGAGCTTTGATTAAATCAAGACATGAACACTCTGCCCCCAACCACCTCTAAGCTTCATTTGACGTAAGCAGGAAGCACCTTCTTGACTCTAGTGTCGGAGGTGTTTTCCAGCATAGTCGACTTACGTGCCCTGTTGCCCTTACGGGTCATTCGAGGAAGACCACCAGTACCTGTTGGCACCAACAATCCTGTGTGGGCTTACTACACTACACTTACACAACTCTCAAGCTTAAGAGTAGAAAGGGTCGTGCAGACTTTAGTTTCAACAGTGATCGTCGAGTGATACAGGAGTCGTGTTTCATAACGTAAGCCAAACGGCAAGGCCTAAAGCAAGTGAGCATAGAATCGAGGGTTTGTGTAACAGGAAAAGGCTTACTACCATCAAGAACGGTTCAGGAGCGTCTGCCACACCGGTACTACTGCGGGCACAGGTCTGGAAAGAGTCTGTAGGTACTATAGGGCCTTCGCAGACGTCCAGTGTCTGCGTCAAGAACTTCAAACTTGGGTTTACTGCCAACGGGTTTACATCCGACTCGACAGACCAACTACTACAACAGCTCATGCAACAGGTACTCATCCGGCCGACAGGCTTTGTCTGCGAGGTGATACGCTGCATAGAACACGATACCTCACACAGACGGCCTGACCCAAACCCCTGAAAAATTGCTCACCCTGGAAAGCACCTCTAAAGAAGCCTAGATCGCAAGCCCTGAGGAATCGTGAGCATTCATGTAGTGCCCTTCACCGTAGACCCCAAGCCCCGAAGATGCTAAGCCCCGGCATACCCCACCGGCTCTAACTCCGGAGACTTTCACATCGCTTCTAGTCCCCACTTCGAACCATAAAGGACACGGATCTTAGGGTTTCAAGGGTAGGCTGCAACCAAGGCAACAGCTCAGAGAGGCCTTGCTTCAGGAGGATGTCGTCACCTACAGAACCTCGGCCTTCCTTTACTGGGAAGACGTTGGGTTATAAATGCCCCCATTGAGCCTATCCCAAACTTACACTACTTATGGCCGATGGATGTGGGTTTGCCAGGCGCCCCTGCCGCAGATTTTGCAGGACAGCCAAAGACGAAGTTTCTTGAAGGATCATGAAAGCTTGCAAGTCTGCTACACACGGGTTGAAAAGCACCCGAATCGGCGACATGATAAGTTATAACTCTGTTCAATGGGTCAGGTGCAGCCATCAGTGTTTTCTCCGCTGCGACACTCTGGCAAGAGGCCATGTCGGGTGAGCTGTGGCAAAGGCCACCTAGCAGTGGTGGGTGTTGGGATTGCATTCTTCATGGTTCATATTGGATTCTTTTGCACGGTCGTTTCTGCACATCTCCTCGAAGGTTCGACACGTACATAGACTTCTTACCGATACACTTCCGTAAGATTCCTCTATTCTGCCAAAATATCTCCCAAGACCCTATCCCAATTATCCCAACCGCTGTATTAGAGCTCGAGGCCCTGGGTCGCTTCGCGGAGCTCCACCACCGTGGCGAAAGCAACGTCGAGGGGCCTGACAGGGGTGAAAAGATTTGGGCTTTAGGTTTAGGGTTCAGGGTCAATTCAGTGCTTCACGCCTGGGTCATTATGGGGTCTTAATAATTGTTAAGGCTTAGTGCCGCCTCGGCCCGGCAGAGGCGGGACCATTGAAGTGCTGTTGACTGCTGCACCTTGCCAGATTTATTGTTGAGTGCAGCAGGAGCGGATAGCTGTAGAAAAACCCTAACATTCAATAGCTAAACACCCAAGCTGTTAACCCCTCAAGCCGTTGACCTAAGAAGCTCAAACTGTCAACTATACCCCTAAAACCCTGAGCCGAAAACCTGAGGCATTAGAGTCACAGAGTTTGCCCCAAAAGATCTAGTGACTGAAGCCTCTTTGCAAGAACACCTTTGTGCTTAAGCTACGCTCTGAAGCTTAGTTCTGAACCCTGAAGTGCAGAATGTGTAGAAGTGCTCTTAGACAGTCAAGGTCATCTCCATCGGAGCCGCTATCCAGGCCTGCATGCAAAGCATGCCCGAAACTCAGAGAAGCTTCGGGGCTTCGAGGGTGTTGGGGACTTCAATACGATTGTATGCGGGGTTTTGAGATGCAGAAGTAGTCTTTCGGCCCTAGGATTTGTGTGGAGAATGTTATGGTCAAGTTGGTATTGGTAACTGCTGCAGAGCCAGTGCCATTGTAACAACTAGATCAATCCGGAATTGGATGGTAGTGCCAAGCGAAGACTTGCCAGACACAATACCCACACGTAGTTTTTTCTGGACCGAACCTGGCCAAGCCTTGCTTTGGCAATTTTCCAAAACTCATGAACCCTTCACTAAATGCTTATGAAATTATTCTATGAAACTCTTTGTAAAGACGTTACAGAAGGCATACTGCAGCAATTTGGTCTCCGATGCATCCCTGTCAGCGGTGGTGATCGCGGCAATGACAGCTTCCGAACTGTTCAACTAAAACGGAGAAAGCCGTGGGAGCGGTGGGGCCCACGGCCGGCGGTGCGTGGTGACAGATGATCAGACATATCGTCACTTTACACTCGTGATTCCAAGGCTAGCTGCTAGCCGCTACAAGCCGCAAAGCACTGTTGACAGAATTTGTCAACTTCCCCTAAACCTTTCCCACCCGAGGCAGTGGCAACTGGGCTTGGGTTTGCTTCGGTTGCTGCAGCAAACGAGCTTGCGGGCGAACGCTGCTTGGTTTGCAATTTGCGTAGGCTGAAAGGGTATGAGGTTTCAGGTCTTCGGCCTATCTTTCCGGGGCGCGCGTTTCGGCAGTCTTGCCGTCAGCTGCATGTTCGCGTAGCTGTTATGCCTGTCAGGAGATCAGGGACTTGATTCCGGCTTGCAGACTTTTGAGACAACCCCTCTGGGGCCGGGACGATCTCCGCCATCTCCGCACCACTTGCACGTGAAATGCGAACTCACTTCGAAATGCTTCGCCAAAGGGACCCAAGCACTACTGACAACGCTCTGGTATCATTATTTTGCATGGCTGAGGTCATTGTGTACAATGAGGTGATCAGCTTGTGTGATGCTTGGCTCGCAGAATACCTGCCACTTTCAGATACTAAAAGTCCAACAACCACGCCTGCACACTGTGAAACTCTATCGCTGGCGTAGTACAAGCCTGTCCTGTGCATCAGAAAAGGAAGCTACGAAACTTAAATATACTCAAACCATAAGCGTCAGGAAATAAAGCGCAAACCCAAAGGTATGCATGCAACCAGAGGCTTGACCCAAAGCCACAGGCCAAACTTGAGGTTTGGGCCTGTCAGGATCAGTTGGGGGGTGGGAGAGTTGGGCTTAGGGTTAGGGTCAGCCGCGGGGTTGGTCCCAGACGACCATTGAACCATCATGGGACTTAGCAAGTCGGATATAGGGATTCGGGCATGGAGAGCGGACGGAAACTGCAAGTTTTAGAACGCTTGAGAAGCTTGCAGAACCGGAACCGCTGTTTCATCCAATCATGGCGTTGTGATCCCCTCAGCTTCAGCGTTGCTAATCCCCCAATTCCATACACGTCCGCGCGATCAGACTGAAGCACTGGCTAAGGAGCTGTGCAGCCAATGGGAGCAGACAGTGTTGCTTTTCGAGGAGCTGAGGGACAAAAGCCCCTGGGCTTTGAATGGAAAAAGTTAGGGCAGCTTTACTTCGAGTTTCAGGGGTAGTGACGGGGCTGTACATTTAGGACAGCCTTTGCTCGGTGTTGAAGAGCCAAGCTCCTGCCGAAATCCTAAACCGAAGATCGAGAAAGGTCTGGAGGTGGATGTGCTGACCTATACCACACTGCTTAGTGCCTGCACACAGTGCACCCAGTGGCAGAAGGCGACTTTGCTTCATTGGTTCCGTCTCAAAAGGGTCTGAGACGTCACATAGTTATGTATAGTAACGATAATGATCTTGCACAATAGAAGATAATTGGTAGTTAGTAAACTATGCCATTGAATGTCGTTCGAAGGTTGTTAACCTGTGGTTTCCGTTGTGGGCGAGGGACAGCGAGCGAGATCATGCTGGAAAGTAAGTGCTGTGCAGTGTGAGGGAAGAGGTTTCAACAGCGCAGCGTGAATTTAATCTTCGACATCGATAGTGAGGACTTGATGCATTAGCTTCTAAAGTGAGTGGAGGCTGGGGCTAAGATATAGCCTTCGACAAGACATACTTGTGCTGAAGTAAGTTAGCCAATGACTCTATTCTCTTTGATCCTTAAGGACGGGTGCTTCAAGGAAGGGTACATGGCATCCTTAGGGAATGTTGGGGTGTACTAGGCAGTTCCCCACCATTTGACATCAGCTGTTGGTCCGATGTCTGCCCCCGCTCCGTTGTTTCTTGCACAGAGGGTAGAAGGCGAGAGGTCCTGTACCAATGTTCTTCTGATGGCTGGTACTGTTGATATTGCTGTTATGTATCCGTACTATAATTACACCGGCTGTCATGGTTCGTAATGATGACCATGCCGAACGAGCTCAGAAGCTTAAACACTACACCACTGAGTAAGTTGTATCGAGCGGTGTGAGACCCAAACCTTCAATGACCCCTTCCCCCCACTCAAGGCCGTGGCACTAGCTGAGGAGGCAGCGGGCCTTGGTTTGGCAGATGATGCTTCATGCAAGCAGCAGGGTTTCCGGAGGTTAGTCAGGTCTGATGGAGCTTTATTTTTGCTTTTCTAAAGAAACAAGCTGTTGCTTGGGTTCGATGTGGGCTTGTTCTGTGCTGCTTAACTCAACACTACGATTCCCAGGCGATCTGAATGTTCCTACGTACAGTCCGCCTTGGACAAATTTAGAACACCGGCCTTGAGACTTGCGTCAAGCTCAGGCTGAGGCTTCCAGGGATTCGGGGCAGGCCTGAACACTGAACCTAATGAACCCAAACCACACCCTGATAAACAGAGTCGATCATTTCTCGTCGATCTTTCGGGCTTAGGGTACTTAGAGGTTCCCGTCGAAGATGAACCATGCAGCCTAAAAGGAAAAAGGATGCGGCACCTTTGATTTTCGCCTTAAGGAAAAACTCTACAACGCGGCCATCAGTGCCTGTGGCGCTGCTCGCTTGCATCATCCGAGAAGCTGACCAGTTGCAGGATGAGTTGGAGATGTTTGCTTCGATCCAGGAATGCGCGTTTGAGGACACGATCTAAATTCTAGGCTTGCAACTTAGCCACATTCTCGGATTCGGCGACTCCTAAACCAAGCCTTACAAATTTCATCCACGACTTGCCTATGAAGGTCAAGCAGGGCTGCCGCCGGTTCTCAGCTTCTTTAGGTCTGGATTGTCCAACTTGATGTATGTAGATGACTCAGGGTGGCTTTTCCCATATAGCCGACGTAGCAAATTCCATCATTTGTCAAATAAGACCACTGAGGGTGGACCCATTTTCTCTCGCACAACTCTCGTGTTAGACTCGTGTTACCTGTTACATGTCGTCTCGGTAGGCAGATGTATTGAGGGATCCGCAGCAGTAGTTAAGGCGAACCCCAGCCTGCTGGATTCTCGATTGAGATTATGCCATTGTTGGGATAGGACCCATTCGTGTAGGTAATTAGGAAAGGAGAATTAGTGTGGTCCCTTTTTAGTTGAGCAGGGATATAGAAATCTGTTGGCTGTGTATGTAGTCGTATCTGTCCTACCTAGGGAGTGTTTCGAGGTATTGGGTTTGTATAGAAAATGACAAGGGGAGGTGTCGGGAGTTAGTAAACTGCTGAAAACTTGTACCTTGGAATTTCACCTTTTCACGATACCTGTCATGTATAATGTTTCGAATGTAGTGACTGTTATAACCTCGAGTCCCGAGCCCGAGAGCCACTGTTCCCGAGGAAGGCAACCACTGGCGCCGGGGTCTGGCGTTCTTTCACGAGCTGTTGTCCAGCGGTCTGTGGCTCTGCCTGCACCTTCTGCCCTATGCTTTAGTGTGGTTTTACTTTTGGGTCCTGAGTTGAAACGGCTCGCTCGCTTAGTCATGCGTAGTGATGTTTGCAATTCTTTCGAGGATTTACAACTTTCATCATCTTCGGATAGTTCTGATTTCCCCCAAGCACCCCGACTTGGAAACCAGCCTTAAAGGCGAAACTGCTTTTAGTCGTTTGGAGCTTGCGGTGTGGGTATGAGGCCCGTGGACATCGCGAGCTGTAACGCAATGATCGGCGCCTGCGACAGGCTTGGCGAGAAGAGCATGCACTGCCACGGAGTGTAGGCAAAGGGGTTCAAGAGACGAGTTTAACAACTCTGTCAGGCCCAACTCGTTGCTCCGATGAACTGTCGTATTTGGGTAGATCTTATGCCTGAATTTCAGGGATTTATCCGCAAGCGCAAGCATCGGTTGCAACCGGGGCCTTCCACAGAGCATCATCCAGTTTTTTTCGCATGCGAGAAGGAGGGTTTTTGCGAAGTCCATGAGCACACAAATGGCATCGCTCGCAGCAAAGACGAATGAGGACATACAATCGAGTGCAAACGGTATAAACGCAGCAGTAGGGCAACGTGACGCAGAATGAGTACGATGATGCAAATCATAGGTATGACATGAATTTCAATACTGGCCCTAAACAATTCCTAACCGCATGTTGTCTGTGACCTGTCGAATTGCACGGGTCCGACAATGGCCCATCAAATGAGCAATGCCGTGCCGGCATCTTGTGGAACAAAGCAAGCAACCTTCTTCCGTAGCTGCCTCAGCCTCAACGTGCAAAGTGTGTGCGGTATGTCGGGTGTATATTTACTTTCGGGACCTCCAGAAATTACAGTCCCTACAGGACGACACAGCCCGAAGCCTTCCGTACATCCAAGCCTTTTGTGCTATGCTTTTCCCGGCTATCACCTTGCTCACGACCACTCAACATTGCCCCCATTCTGATTACCACCGCTTCTGCAACAGAGCATTGGCAAACCAGTAATTCATCAGGGTACGCCCTGAATGTTCTCGGCCTGCCTAAACCACGGCCGCTCCGGTCTTCAGGTTATGACATTTCGAGAATTCGAGGACTTCGGGGCTTAGTCAAAAAACTGGGAAGAGCTTTTGGGCTGTAACCATCAAGGCACATGTTCGTAAGCTCCAAACTTCGCCCTGCACCAAACCTCTCCAGTGCGAACCATCTTTATCAAGCCTGACCTGAACCGCAAGACTCGAGCATTGCCTATGTCTCTGTCCGTGATCCCAGCTAGTTCGATCTCAAGTCATTTTCTGTTTCCGGACACCTAGCTGAAGCCCATACCCCGAAGACTGCAGGAGGAACTTTGACAGTATGTCAGGACCACGCGCAAGCAAATCCCAAAGCATATCGGAAGCCTTTGCAAGATCCATGGAAGATGTGATCACGGCTCCGTCGGTCAAACCCTCGCAAAGTCTCTCGAGCAGCAGCCTCGAGTTCAAAACCGTCACATCCTAAACTCCAACCCTGCAACCCTCAAGACCCTAAAGTCTTGATGCATTTCGTTTCCCTAAGAGCTTTCAACTTCCAGCGATTCCCGACCCTCCGGCGCGAGGGCCGGTTCTTGGAATTTCGCGCTGGCGATGCTCCTCAGCGCCGGAACATGGCTTAGGAGTTCGGAAGGTTCAAAGTCTTGTCGTAATCCGCTCGTTCTCCTCCTCTCCGTCCTGCTGTCCGGCTGGGCCTTTTCAGTCTCCTACAAAGTGCGAGCATGGGTCAGCATCTGAGCTTCCAAGCCGACCTGCAACAGCTGATCGGAGCTGGATTCAAAGTTGCCGTTCAGGGATGTATGAAGCTTGTTGAGGCGGCTTGGTACAAAGAGGACCTCAGACAAGGACTACACTGTGCTGTAGCATGTAGCAGGTTGATCTGCGGATCGCTGTAGCTTGGAGAGGCCTCTCCGATGTTTATTCCTTCAGACCCGACTTGAACGACTCGACATCGGCTTCAGAATTCGATGCCCTGCAACCGACACATGCCGTCATGCAAAGACCCCACAAGGTTTGAGTCGGCATCCAACATCGCCTTGCAGCCGACACCCGGCTTTGTTAAAGTGGCAGAGTTCGGGATTTCGTGCGATCCTGGGGGGTCGAGGCGGCGAGCGTTTTGGTTGTGATTTCAGGAGCTTGACGTGCTGGTGGTTTTGAGCCCTCTGGGCTCGGGATGTGCGAGTTTTGCTATGATCGGAAGGTGTTATTGGATAAAGCACATTGTAAATTCTCGGCGTGCGTCCGGGGCGAAGGTCGCCTGGAGGTCTCAGGTCAGGAAGTCTTTTTGCATTCTGTCCAGGCAAGTGAGAACGGAAGCTGATGACTCTTAGTGTGTGGGTCTGTCGTCAAGTTTCAAGCTGGCAAGACTGGCCCCACGCCTGCATCCCTTGCATCCTCTCTGCCCCCGATCGCAATGCTGCTTCCGTGTGCATTATGTGTGTCGGGGAGTTTTCAGTGTTGGGGAGGCAATCTGCAGGGTAGCTCCGAGTATCCAAGTGTGGCTGACTTCTAACAGGACCATTCTCACGTACACCGTGGCATTTCGCGCCTTGGCCAATGGCAGAAGCTGCAGCAGCAGGGGAATGATACCACAGTGCTGTCGTGATAGTTTCTCCGAGAACGAGATTGATGACAATAACCATCCTTCCGAACAGCGGGATGCCTAAGGCTTTCCGTAGTAGCAGCTTAGTAGCAGTTGCCGTCGTCGTAGCGGGAGTAGCAGTGGCAGTCCTACTAAGCAGCAGCCGCAGGCAGCTACAGCGACAACAGCAGAAACAGCAGTATGTCAAGTTAACAATGCTCATCATGCATGTTCTTGAGCTGAGCCCGTTCACGGAAAGGGTCTGCCGGGGTCCGGTTTGCCATTCTCTTTGCTTAGGACCTTTCGAACGCTGAAGCCCTTCAGCCAAATCCCTGTGTTTCTACCGTAGAAGATAGAGACACCTGAAGCTCAAAGCTTGTAGAGAAGCCACTGGCTTGTTTCATGCTTAACTTTGTTCAATCTTCAACCCAATGGCCGAACAATTGTTGTCGGATCTGTGCCACCTTGCCGCCTGCCGAGCCCGGTGCCAACAGGTTCTTGCGAAAGGGGCGAACAAGAACGATCTGCTGTGCGACTTGCTTGGGAATTGTTTGTCTCTCTCCATGGAAAAAACAGGTTTCAAGAGTGCGTCTTCTGGCTTCAGACGGACTCCGCTCTTTGGAGTGCGACAGTGGGCCTTTGGTTTGAGACAGTCTCAGCATAGGTTATTTGATATTACAAGGACGCAGGTTTCGTCATGTTGGTCGATGTCTGTTGGTTGACTTCGTAAGCCAAGAGAAAAATACCAAGAGCAATTGCCCGTGTCAGGTCGTTTCTGAAGGAGTTGCACGCGACGGCACTACAGACCTTGAAAGCTTGAGCACTGCGGACCAGCAAAAGAAGTGTGAATTCGCATGGAGGGACCTCTGGCCAATTTTCCGTGAAGCCGAAACCCCGACACCAGAAGCTTAGATGCCGAAGCCTGAGCTTCGCAAGCGACGGCCGTGCATTGGGCACAAAAGGTTTACGATGTTTGAGGATCTCGCCTCCTGGCACAGCTGCTTGCAGGAGTGTCAATCTGCGTAAACGTCAACCTTGGAGCTCCAGTTGCCCCTCTGCGGCCACATCAAGTCTGTAGGAAAGAGAGCTCGGGCCGCCGAGGATGCGCACCTTCGCCAGCTCTTTCAACTACGGTGCCCCGGCTCAGCTGGATCCGACCGCATCCCAGAGAACAAGGGTCCAGTATACCACTTCTTGCTGACCTTTTTGCAGATGTTTCGAGGGTAGTACGTACTGGTAAGTTCGATGCTGTCAGGATTCTGACATTCTGACGTATGAAACACGTTCACTACTTCGATGGTTTGGTGTTCAGGCATTTCAGATCAGCGTAGAATGTACGTCAGCGACCCATCAAGAAGACCTTGTCGAACTCGAGGTGTTGGCGTCACAAGCACGCTCATCGAGCATAAAGCTAGCCAGCTGAAGGCCGGGCTATTGTTCCAAGGTGTTGATGATTGTGCCCCCGGGCGCATATAATGGGTATATGTGGGGGTTGTAAAGCGATCTTACTAAGTGTAGCCCCATTCAAGGCCACTCTAGGATGTAGGACATTGTAGGACCTTGGCACCCTGCCATGCGTCAAGAAGTGAGGGCACTGAGCTTCAGCAGTTTCAGGTATTGTCGGCTTGTGTGTTTAGAGTTAAACCTGCCTTTTGCATTGGGTTTTGGTGGGTCCGAAAATCGACATCCCCATTCTGATGGTTCTCAAACCGGGCATGGAGGCGGCGCCGGTTTGATGATTGCCGGAGTAATGGGGGGTGATGCTCGAGGCATTTGGAAGACCTAGGACCTAGGCTTGGCAGTCAGTGAACGCATGCTTTACATTAGGATGCAGGCTTAAGCTTGCGAGGCTGTTTAGGCGGAGCGCTTTCAGCTCCAAAACGCGACGGAAGCTGCAGAAGAGGAGTAAGAAGAAGACGAACCGATTTGACTTGGGCCGGGTGCGAAGCCTTCGAAGCCATGCCATATTGAATCTTCCCCCAACCCCAAAAACTCAAACCCCACAACAGCTCATTCTGCAGACACTTGAACAAATAAATGACCCTTGACCCTGAACGGCTCATTCTGCAGATCACGATGAAGACTCCAAAAGGAACCTCAACATCGCCTGCGCCCCAGGAAAGGGGCAGTCCGTTGCCGATTCAAGGCTACGTGTAGGGGGCGTACCCCAATTCTAGCGGGATCACCTGACTTGTAGCATAATTTTTAAGCACCCGGAATCTCTAACGTGCATGCACCAAGACTGCTGTGCCGCAAGAAGTTTCGGTCTCGGGCACGAAATCTAGGCCCTGTGTCCGTTCGACGAGCCAGCCAGTGCGATCAGAGGAAATCCTATTCCAGTTGCAAGCTCCACCGTTCATCCAGATCCTTGCAGCTAGGGCTCAACGTCCTGTTGTGAGTTCGCCACGCCCTACACAGTAATTCCCCAACCCTCGAAGGAGCTCTGCGGCAGTGTTGAGCTTTTGTCTCGGCCTGATTATCAAGCACATCAACTAGGCTGCTGGAAAGGTCCAAACTCCGGAAGCTCTTGAACAAAAGCCCAAAGGCTCCTCGCTGCCCTACTACTCTGCAGATGTTTTCTGCACCAGGTTTGATCTGAAGACCCTACATTCCAAGCCCAGGACGATCCACATCAACGGCACTGAACAGGGCTCGGCGTTTGCCTCAGCTTACCGATGCATCAGCATATGTCCGCGCATTGCTTCCATCGTAGGGACCCGACAGTCTCAAGCTCGGCTGTTGCTGCCACTGCTGGGCCGAGGGTTTGGGTGTCGTTCGGTAGGGCACTGGGTTGCAGGAATCTTCTTGCAAGTTTTGCTGAGATTCAAGCAACATCGCGACAAGGAATCTAGCAGCCTATGGGACGGAGGCCTTCAGCTTGTAAGGATGGGTTCTGTTGTGCACATAGCCAATCCCAAACCGATCTCGCCAAGCCTTCAATCTCAATGGAGAACCTTAACCGCCAAACCTTGAAGTTTATCCTTTTGGCAGGAGCTTCCCTTTATTATGCTCCTGTCCCATGTCTGCTTGGCATGGGAGAGCCACATCCTGAACCTCTCCAAACTTCAAATTGGAAGCTCAAGCCCAGAACGCTCCAGCCCCACCAGAGATTTGTGGCTTGCCAGAAACCCACCCTTCCGTTGTTGGCCTGGGCGTCGGAGAGATGCCGGCACGAGTGCTTGGAATGGCAAGCAGCAACTGCAGGATCGGGGATGCTGGGTTGCGCCAGCACTGACGCTCGAGTTCTGTGCCAGGGCAGAAGATGCCCAAGCTGCGGTTCTGGTCAGGGCAGGGTGTAGGCCCAGAAGCCTCCAACAGCGCATCAAGCCCTGCAACTCGTTAGTGAAGTTGCTGTTTCAAATGCGAAGCCGTGCATCAGCCGATAAGAAACAGGTCGATCCTATGGAAGATCGGCCTCTGCGCGTGCTGCCTCAGTGGGAAGGTGTGCCGGGTCTTGGATCTTGAAATTTAACCTTCAGAGCCCCTTGAGTCTTGACTTGTGAGATGCGCTTTTTTGAGTTCTGCAGGTTTCGGTCCGGAGGCTATTTGACGCCCGCAACAGGACAAAAGCAAGCATGTAGCATTGCAACTCTAGGCTTAGGGATTGATCTCCAGGTGCAACGCCCTTTCTCCAGCAATGCTTTTCTGCAGAACCATACAGCTCAAGCATGTCGCATGTTCGGCCAAGTCCGATAGCGCTTAGGACGATCGCATTCTTGGCATGCTGTGTGGCGATTTTTGCACCTTCCCTGCCTTTCTGTCTTGTTTCTTCCTCGCATCAATTTGAAACCAAAGTCGGCTGAAACTCGGCAATTTCCTGTTCAGCCTTATGATTTTAGCGAAGCTAAAATGTAATCAGGGTGCAAGCTGAGCACGAGTGTGCACTGCCCTGTGCCACCCAAGCAGAGTAACAAGCTTGTTCGGCTGGGGTCTATCCCGGCCTTGCTTATCAGAGAGTAGGATTAGATGCAGAACACAGCAGGGATGTGAAAAGATCTACAAACGGAAACCCGTTACCTACATAGAGTTCGGATGCTCGGCGAATCGGCGAGAGGCAAAGTGTTGGTGGTGTCAAGCAGGCCACGAGCTGCTGGCTGCCTCAGGGTTCGGATTGAGATTGGGGTTGTGGAGTACAGGGGCAAGTTGGAAGTGTGTCTTCAGAAAGTTTGCCATGTGCAGAGAGTTCGGTGTTCGGTGCACCAGAGCTTAGCTGCATCTTCTAGGCAAAGACCACCCAAGTCCTCGCTGGCAAAGCACCAACATCTTCCTTCGACCATCAGTCTGAACAGTCAGGTGCTGCGAGCTCAGTCTCATAAGCTCCATTTCGCCTTGTCCGGGCGTTGCGCAGTTTCTTCCTTTTGGTGGCTAGGTTTTAGAGAGGCCAAGCTAGGTGAAAAAACCGTTAGGCGAAGCTTTGTTCAGAAACCAGTATCGTAGCTTACTTGCATGGTTAATGCCCCAATGACGCACCAAGTGTGAAGGGCTAGATGAGATTGATCGCCAAGCGCAACCGCTAAGGCCTGCCTGGCAGTTCCACCGCTTGGCCATATGTCTGTGGTGCAAACAACCCACATCACTTGTTTGGTGTGTTCCCGAAAATGATGTTGCAGTTTCAACACAGCAGAGAATGGGCTCTGCAGATGCAGGTTTGCAACGCGTTCAGCCCTCCAAGCTTCCAGGCGAGCTGACTCTGCAGAGCCGTTGCCGACAAATCGAAGGTTTCTGCAGGGAGGCCAGATGTCAGAAACTCAGCTCTTGCAGAGGGGCAGATTCACGACAGAATCACCGAAGACCCTGGGCCAACAAGGCCTTCAAACCCGGCGTGTCTGCTTGATGTCACAACATTTAGATACGGCCAGCTCAAGGATGGGGGGGAGCCGTTCATATATTTCATGCTACGCAGTTGAATCCACGTTTAGAACTTCAGGATTGTGGAGTCCACCACCCAGTCCGGTTTGGTCACGCGGCGAATCTTTGAAAACAATGTGTGTGAGACCGAGAGCAGGGAGTGGTTGCAGACTTAATTCATTGATTTGCTTTTTTGAAACACTCACTCATCATAACGATACCGAAACAGAGTCAGAAATCTGATTCTTGAGTATTTGGATTTTTGCTTGTATTTTTTTGTGTTCTTGCTCATGAATGGTGGCCTGCTGGTTTCGGGTCACAGAATACAGTTCGTTAGGGAAATTTTAAAATATATTTTTGCGTCGTAGATTAATTCAAATACTAAAATTATATTTAGATTTCAAACAATTAATCGAGAATATATAATAGAAAATATACATATATGTATTTGATATATATGGTTTTCCTTTTGACTAGGGATATCTATTTCTGATAAAATATATTCTTTGAATATTTTATTTAAATTGAAATTAATTTTTTTATCTATACTTTTGATATTATAATATTTTTCTTTTATTTATTGAATTTAGAATATATAAAAAAATAAATAGAATTTTTCAACAAATTATAATGATTATAAAGAAAATATATTATTTATTGATTAGATTGAATAAATTAATAGAGAATATATATTTAATTCATAGAATCTATAAAATGTTATTATATTATAAATGATAAGAATTAGAAATATATGATTTATATATTTTTTTATTGGAATTTTTTAAGTTTGCGAATTATGATTCTGAATTTTTTTATGATTAATTATGCTTGTCTCTTGATTTTTAAATTTTTTAATAGAAGATTTTCTATTCGAAAAAATTGAAAAATAATTAAAAAAATTGAAATATATTATGATATCTTAATATATAAATTAGAAAATAATTTTTTTGATTTGAATTTCATAAATATTCT